CCACGTAGACGAATTTGAGAGCACCCACTAGTAAATTATATATCCAATAAAAAGGAATTTGTTTTAGGGTTCAGCTCTAATTTAACGGTGCGTCCAGCTATATACATTTAGCAAAAGTCATTTAAATTTTTTATACCACCTAGGCACACCTTAAATATATTAACTCTCATACCAACATGTTGACTGTTACATGGTTTCTAATGTATTTTTTTTTGCGTTATTAATGAACAACACACATGTAGGCTTAGTCGTGTAGGCGAAACAACTGGACCAACAGGATGGCGGTACCTTGGCTTTCTCTAGCCACAGAACAGGTGTCAGTGCGGTCTTGGTAATTGTGTAGATCAGAGTTTCCCATACTTATTTGTGTCGTAGACCCTTTGTCATGTGTTTCAGTTTTGGGTAGACCATCTACTTACCTGATATTGATTATTTCTAAATTTGTAACTGGTAGGAAGTTAGTGTTAAAAACTAAAAGTAAAAACACATGTTAAGTTTTATACATTTATTAATTGAATTTAAATTAAAACTACTCAAAATAAGATTTTGTATCTGTTATATAAAATATACGTAACATAAAATAAAGATAAAAAACAAAGCAATAAGTAAATGTAATTAGTGGGAAGGATGAACCTGATGCTTCAATAATAAATAATCAACATTTGGAATCAATTTTGTAAGGTTGATTCTAAAATCTTCTCGGCTAATGACGTAGCTAGTTATGACGATGGAAAGGAAATTACAAAAAATCTCGCTATATTCCATAATTTTTTTGCAGCCAGAATTGCTGATATTTATAGTAATATAATGTTAGTGACCATGAAAGTTTAAAACAATATATTGCTGATATTTATTTTTAAACTGAACCTTAAGTTCTTTGTTTGTACTTTTTTCTGTCAGTTCCTCTTGTTTTATGACATTCGTTTCTTCTCTGTCACCATATGGGTTAATTATCCACCGTGGTACGAGTATTACTATAGTCAAATAATCCTCAAACCTAGTTTCAAAATCTCAATAGAGGGCTTTTAAATGTTGAACGTAAATTGAAACGTCGTCTTCCTGGCAGTTTGTTTGTGACAAATTGCGGAACTGGGAATTCGCCCCGTCCAATATTTTGCTGCATTAGTTCAAGAAACGCTGGTAAGATGGACATTAGTCAAATTTAGACTGCCGCTTTGTAATTGCAAATGCACCATATTAAAATTTGTAAACAAATCTATTAAATAGGCAATGGTGTCGATTCCGGTATGATTCTCTAAACCCAAACTTAAATTTGATAACAGTGTGTCGCTGTCATTCTTTATACAGAGTAAAAAGGATAGACTGATGTTAAATTTAGTTTTAAGTTAAGAGAATCCTGCCGGATGCGACACTATTGTCTGTTTTCCGCTTCATTAAATTGTCATTAAAATTTTATTTTTGGTATCCAGAAATACTAAAATAGTCTCAAAAAGTGCAAAAAATCTTGTCAAACATAACCTTTCTTTGGGTTTTTCACACAACTGCACAAATATTCGCGTATTTAACGCGTTGCTTCGGATTCGGTTTACTGCATCAATGACTAATTGAAGAGATTAAGACAATCTAACACTCAAGTTTTTAGCAACTAAATATTGTCGATGGATGACGCAATGTATTGCTAACACCCCTGACACATTTTGTTTTAAATAGCTTATAAATCCACGATAACGTCCAACCATGGCGGGGCTCCATCTGTGGCTACTGATATTATATAAGATAAAGGGATTGCTTTTTCAATAAAGTAATCCCTCAAAACATGAAATATTGATTCACCTTTAGTGTCGATTGTCAAAGTTCTTGCGAAGAGCAGTTCTTCGTAATTTCTTGATCAACACTCTACTGTCTACATTTCTTTTTAGATTCGAACATGGCATCAGTCATCTGTGGGCAAAATTAATCTATTTAAATAAGCCATAAAAACCAGCAGCTGTATACTTAAAAAAAACAAAGTTAAATTTAAATATTATGGTATTGGATTTTATGGCAGGCAAATGAATGTGAGAATTGCGAGAAGAGAAATGTTGTGAATGTTACTTAAGATTTTGGTATGATGGAACTTTAAGGAAATTTGAAAGTAAAATGGCAAAAATGTTAAAATAAAATATTATACAACGAATAATAATAACAAATTGTTATGCGATTTATCTCTACGTACATACGACTGTCATGTGTAAAAATTCACTGGTTCCACTTTAGCAATAATACAAAATTTTAATATAGATAAATATGTAAATATGTATGTATAAATATGTAATAGTCCGAACTAGCTCCACTGTAACGACCAATGGACAAAAGTACAATTTTCCTACTTTTCTTGTGAAGTTATTTTGTAAGATATTTTATAATCCGATTAGATTAGCGATCCGATAGATTTTTATAATCCGAACATCTCCTTGCAGCAATTAGTTCGGATTACGGATATTCCACTCTTATTATACCGATTGCTAAAGCTTTGAAATATAATTAATACATAATTTGAATATTAAACTACTAATAACTGAAGTCATGATTGGCGAAGTTTATCTTTGCTAACTACGAGTATGAAACTAAAATTTATTAAAAAATAATGTACTTACTATTCCCCGGCACTCTCAAACAAAATAACACTGATTCACTATAATTTGTGTGATAATCTACCAGTTTTTATTTTTTATATATATTTTCTTAGCATTTTCCTTTTCAAGATTCAGGAAACGAATAAACGTATTTGTCTCACATTCGTATTATAGAGTGACAAATTGAACAAGTCAGTGCAACTTCGCGAAGCTCGCAGACAAAAATTGACAAGATTTTTCACTGCGCGTATGCTTGTAGCAACATGATACTGGGATATCATTATGTGCAGGTTTTTACAACTTCAAAATATTAGACATGGGCGTTTTTGGTTTTGAACGCAAACGGATATTTATCGGATTTCAGATTTCAAAATCGATTTTAAAATCCGTTTTTAAATATCCGATTTCAGATGTGCTGAACTTAGCCAATTCACTAGTTTGTGTTATGATTTGGTTTTATTAGCTAACGACAATCACAAACAATTAATTGTAGGAAGCAAGGATACTCGTAGATATTCGCGATTTTCCTTCATGCTTTAAATCTAGGCTTAGGACTAGCAGAAAAGTTATGTTTACGGTTAAGAGTAAAACTTTTGCGGCGCATTTAAAAATCGGCTTTTATACAATGATATTTTTTAGTATTTTTATTTGTTATTCTGTTTGTTTTTATTATTTTTCAAACCATTTACAAAATCAAATCTAATTACTTCAGGTTAGCGTCCAAAAATGTAAGTTGCTCGACTTTTGATGTTTTTAGACGACATATCTTTTCAGTGATAAATAATCCCGCCTCAGAGAACAGCAATAGATTTCCGTAAACAGCAAATCGAAATCGGAGTTCCGAGCACGAAATCTTACTTCCGAAAACGAAAGCACGAATTTCGAATCCGATTTAGATTTGGATACTTGTGGTATTTGGTTTTGGTTCGGTTAGATTTCTGAAATCGGATTTTCTTGTTGAGAAATCGTTCGGTATCGATTTGTGTTTGAAATCGGATTTTGGATTCGTTTTGATATATCGGAAGCATGCCTACAAAATATATTGCGACCACAAAGCGAATGCGTACATCCTACAACTTACAAAATTTTATAAAAAGAATTATGTAATATTTTTTTTACGTAGATATTTTATGAATAATGTATATTGTCATATCATTATTCATGTTATATTAGAGATAGTATAATGTGAGTAAATAGGTACTATCTATCTGTATGTTGAGATCCATTATCGTATACCTCCATTTTCATTAGATGTACCCTAAACATTTTTTTCGCTGTCGTAGACCTCTTGCAGGTAAAACATTGTGGTCGGGTCTATCTATGATATTGTCAATGGAAAGCCGACTGAATAGTTTGCCGAAACGGTCTTCGTATTATGCTTTCACTATCTGCACGTAAAAGTTAAGAACCACAAGATAAACTAATCAAGTTATTAGGGTTAGTATATTGTTATGTACAGTGATTTTTCCGGTCTAACCGTTACTTCAGTAAGATATACGTTGGGAATCTTATCTAAGAATCATCCGTCGCTTCGTCAAACGATTATTTTCGAAACTGGTTTTATTAAGATTGATGTACCAAGCATGCGATGAGATAGGTAAAGAATACTGGCCTCTTGATCGATTTTCGGTGTTAATGTCTTGACAATAAGACACCTTCTTCGAACCTGTTCTGAAGACACAATAATTGTAAAAAAAAATTGGTCACTTGTCATCTTTTGTTCTTAAAAACTACTTATTTTAGATCCATTAAGTGCCAAATATAGCGTCATTTTGGTAAAGCTATCTGGAGTCGATTTTTAATGATTTGCACGAGCACTTTATATAACCTTCCTTCTACTTGGCAGAATATTGTTTAATTTAGCATAATATTAACTTACGAGTGAAGCGCCAGCCACCAAAGATCACTTATATGCTAAAAGACGATTCTAACTGTGAACTTTCTGCAGTATGACGGTTCTTCTTTTTAATTATTAATTATTGGGGATATTGAACTTATATTTAAAGATGATTCTGGCTTACAAAATTATGAGTTTAGAATGTCTAATAAATGATTTAATGGCAAATGAAGTTGATGCCATCCGCTGATACGCATTATAATATTATGACATTAAAAGTTCTGCGATTAAAGGTAGATCCATCTAAGACGCACTTTAACAATTTATTTAAGCTAGGCTGCTACAATTACAATCACCTACAAAAATCAAGAAGCTACGCAATATCGTAACTGTATCTAATAAGATACAGACAGTAATACTGAACGTAACCATGTAATGCTACTCTTCTGAACTTTTTTTTGCTATATCTATGTGATCTTGTGTAGGAGTTCAGACTCATATGCATACTTACTCAAAATGGTAGTTCTAAATATTTGTGTTCTACTTCTATGAAGAAATAAAATTAAAATGTCTGTTATTCTTTTCAGATTTGAAAAATGAGTCAGAAAACGTCGCGTAAGGGGGTGGTTACCGAAGAAAAAGAAAAGGTAAATATGTCTAGCATGTATATTAATTTTAAGCAAATGCAAGAAAATAGATGGCAGACAACAAAATACGCGGTTCGACCAATAGCAAAATAGTGCTATTTGGTTCCTATTTTTTTTACCCTACCTTTTTTTATAGATAGGTCCGACAAATGACTCTACCCCACCTGATGTTAAGTGAAGATGCAGTCCAGACGCGAAGATAGCTGATACAGCAGTTCTACCTGCCACACCAGCCATCCTCACCCTGCCAGCCTGCATGTTGCTTCTTCACGCCTCTTTTTAAGGATCCCAGGTTGTAGGAGAGAGGGAACACGTGAGCGGGCAGAGCATTCCATTTACGGATAGTGCGTCAAATAAATGAGTCACCAAATTTCTTTGTACGCGTTGGAATTGTGGCCACAGTTAGACGGTGGCAATGTAGGCCAGCGCGCGTGGTCCTGTGAAGGAAAGAAAGAAAAAGGAAGGTAGAATAGGAGAGAATAACTCCTCAGAACACTCGCCGTGGTACAGACGATAGAACGCGCTCAGTGACGCCACGTCACGGCGTAATTGAAGGGGCTCGAGGTGTTTAGTCACCTTCTCATCGCCTATGATGCGGATCGCGCGCCGCTGTACCTATCCAAAGCATCGAGCAAGTACTTAGCGGAGCCATCCCAGAGGTGCGAGCAATATTCCACGCAGGACCGCACTTGCGTTCCACTTGCACCTCCTACCCTGTGAAAACCTTAATCTCCGACTGAAGCAAAATTAAAAAAAGTAAATGTCACAATTTCGATCGTTCATGATGCTTGCAATATTTATATATCTGTGAAATTTTTTTTTTTTTTTACTTTCAATGAAATGCCGAAGTCTGCCATACAATATTTCAGCCTCTACAACGTATTGCCAAAACATGTGACCTCGTGCTCATTCTGAAGCGAGGCCGTAAGGCCGGGATCTCGTATTATTCACGTAAACCTACCGGGTCATTGTTTCCATTCAATATCACTGAAACCTGTAAAGTTGAAGCAGAATACGCGTAACCTGGTTTTCAATGACACTACTTTTCTGTGACAGTGCTAAGATTTCATATGCCATGGCTATATAGTAACGCTATTACAGCCACTTATCTGTATTTAGTTGAAACCGTTTTATGAAATGAAAATAAACTATCCAAGTTGACTTATTAAAATAAAGGTCTTTTAAATCGTCCGTCGTAGGGTGTGAGAATTTAATTATTGTAATACATGTCAGACTGTTAATGTCCTATAGATAGAATAAATTGAATTCACGCGGGCCCAGTGTGGACTTTTGGGTGCTAAGAAGTCCATAATGCAACCGGGACTAACTGCTTAGCGTACTTTCCAAAGCACGTTGCAGCTCAAGAAGATATTTCTTCGGGTCACCCATACTATTCTGACAAAATAATTTCGCTATCCCAACATAAATGAAAATTAAATTTATTGTACTTTTATTTCAGAGACAAACAGACAGCCCTGTGAAGGACATGAAAAAGAAAATGGCTGCTAACGCCGAGAAAGAAAAGCAGACAGCAGAGAAATCAGTGGAAAAGGTTGAGAAACCTGTAGAGAAAGTAGATAAACCCGCTGAGAAGAGTGAGAAAACTGCAGAAAAGAAGACAGACAAAGTGGAAAAGAAACCTGAACCAGAGAAGAAAGAAGACAGCAATAAGGATGATAAAGCGGCAAAGGTAATTAAAGCAATTTCATTCCATTACAAAGTGTCCTTGTATTTATAAATAAATTAAACTTAGATAGTACAGTAAGGTTGGAGGTATCCATTTAAAAGAAGTATTTCGTCTCTAGTTATATCATCAAATCATCGTCATATTTTAAAGTTCTGCTTATCCTGCATGCGTAGGCTGAGCCGTCCAACTATTGGCACTCTTAGCGAAAACAGAACTAAAACTATTATTGAAATATAAAGTTTAAGCACTTAAATTTATAAAGGGGTTTCCATTGACTGATTCGTCGTTAGATTATATGCAATATTTATCGAAAAGTTACATAACACAAACTTGTGTTTCGATCTGATGGAGTGCCAAAATTTGGACGGAACGTCCAGGAACACGTCTCGTACAAGGATCGTCCGACTCCAAACACCATTCCGTTTGCAGTCGGAGAAGTCTGAAGCGAAGTCGACAAAGCCTAAATCTAACGGGACCGCGCGCGTTAATGGCACCGCCAGTAACGGGGACCACAACGGAACGGTGAGTGCCACGCCGGACTATGAAGATGTGGACGAAGAGGACGAAGGGGAGGGGGATGAGATGTTCCCTGAACTGACGTACGATGACACTTCCGATCCGGAGTTCGAACCGGACGCGCCGCACGGCCGCAGCATCACCCGGAGGTCGCAGGTACAAAAAGTACCTCTTTACAGCGATACTAGCTTGCTGGGGACACTTGATGCGAGTTTGCTGTATGATCATCGGGTTGAGCGAGCTTTGGTTTCAGGGTGTTATGTTAACCTAGGTACAAGTGTTTTAGATTGTAATGGCGTATCCTTTGCTATATAGTACTCCTGTCCTATTCCTCCTAGCTTGAATTCTAGCTTGCGTGAAACATTTCTGGTTGGTTTAGCCGAGATCGGGCTTGGGAAATTATTGGAGCAGGTGTTTCGTATTTAATGGTATATTTTACTGACTTATACCTATATTTCTAATTACTTACAAAAATTATTTGTTCTGGACTTTGCATAACGAGTTTGTTTGGCCTAATATGTTTCGCGATATTGTCATTGGCTTAGGTGATTTAATTTCGTGGTATATCTTCTATGGAATTTTATTTCTTTGTGACATCGGGTTGGTTTGGTTTAATTTGTTTCGGGATTTTGGAAGAAGAAAGAAAGGCACTTGTTAAAGCCGAAAAGGTTTGTCATCGGTTAGCAAATCTATCGCAGGAGACATTGTCGGAGAAGAGCCTAGCTACGCCTCGTAACTTGTCGGAGCACATTCGTCTGATTTCAACTTTCGGAAAAAATCGAATCGAACTCATACGATTTTTGGAGTAAGTTTTTCAATATTTATGGTATCCTTATATCTAATATCCTATTCTACCAATACAAAGACAATTGTGCCTAGCAGGGCTAGTTTGTTTGAATTAAGTCTAGATTTATCAGGTAGACTTTAACTTGTCTATTCTTTACCCATCTGGCACGACAGTTTATCCCACAACTAATGTACTTCCCAAATTGGGGCAGAGATGCTTCCTCCAGCTTACCAGAAGGCTGTTCTTAACCACCAAGGTCATTTCCTTTAAATCATTTTTACTTTCATCATCCTCATCATCACACTGTAAATATGCACCACTGCTGGGGCACAAGCCTCCTCTGTGGATGGTATAGGGAGATTGGTCCGTGAACCACCACGGGGGCCCAGTGCGGATTGGTGCGACGTCGACAACGCACGGAGGAGTTTTCAGACCATCCAGTGACAGACCATTGCGAAAATTGCTTAACTTCTAAGAGTCGCTCGCCATCGAGTTCCTCCATTTTTAATTTATTATAGTTTTATAGTCACCATTAATTTCCAGCCCTCGAATGTGTTACAAAAATATCTTTGCTGCACTAGCTTTTTTAGGGTTCCGTAGTCAGTCCTGACAAGGAACCCTTATAGTTTCGTCATGCCGTCTGTCCGTCCCCAGTTTTGCCTCGAGATTATTATCACTAGAGAGCTGTTATTTTGTGGAGATATGTATATCAATCACGCCGACAAAATGGTAGAATAAAATTTTGAATAATATTTTTTTAGGGTAGCTCCCCTACATGAAACCTGGGAAAGATTTGTTTTTTCATTATCTACTCCTTCGAGTGGGATATCGTTGTTCTTAAGACTTTTTATCGATTTAGGGATCCGTTTGCAAAATATTGAACTTTAAAGTGCTAATTTTCGTTCGAGTACGGTGTCTCCGTCCCCCCCTCCCCTCTTAAAGCTATTGGCTTGAAAACCCTGTAAAAATTCATGATAATAGTGCTTTTCATGAACTTTTAAGGAAAACTATAATTTTAAGTTAAGATAGATTCGTTAGTTTAAGAGTAATCGTCGTTCAACTTTGGTTGCTGAAAAATTCTTACCTATTGAAAATTCCTTAGAGTAGCGTAAAACCTTGCATTGCAACAAAATCTAAAAAAACTTTTAAAAACCATAATTATAAAACTATTAGTTCCACAACGCTACCGCGAGCACCAACGTCAACGGCTTTCGTATCGCGCTAACATTACGTTTTTATAAAAAGTACATGAGCAATTGTAAAGATCGGCGGTTATACCGCATCATCCCCTTCTCTGAGGATGATCGCATGAACTACATCTGATTGGTCTGATACAACCTTGCAGCCGGCTGTGGGGTATCCATTAGGATTTCACACCCACTCCCTCGCCTGGGAGGAAACAAAAAATCGGCGTATTTAAAAAAAAACAACGGGTTGCACTCGGGGAGTGCCGGCAGAAGTGAAAACTTGAATATTAACGTTGTGCATTTTTGATATTATGGAATGGTTAGGGAATAATTTTGCACGAATTGCTTTTATTATATTACTATCAGTATAAAAGTACTATCATTTATATGGTAGAATACAATATTTATTTATTGCGCTATCGTACACAAACATGACAATTTATATTACATTAAAAAGTTTATCTCTGAGAAAAATCAACTTACATGAATCACATTTAAGCTAGGTCGCTAGGTGCTAGCGACATCTATTGTAAAAAAATGCATTTTCTTCGCAATAAAGCTGCCACCTGGACGTCCTCGATAATTATTTTAATACGATAAAATAAAATATTACTATGTTTCGTCTAATATATTGAAAGTCAATAACCTTTCCAATTTTATTGTTTTCGTCTTACGAATTTTCGATTAGGTCACGTGTCTTGACGCGACCAGGCCACGTGTTCTGACGCGAGTTTAACATTATTTATCCATTACAAAAAAGTGTACAACGCCGCTAAAGTTTCGCTAAACTTTCACTTCAAAAAATAATATCAAATTGATTTTGAGTTTCTGATGCAGTTTGACTTTGAATTAGTTAATTTTTAATTTTTGTTAACATACATAGATTGATATGATTTTTTGTAATTTCTAATATAGAAAATAAAGACTCTTAAATATATTGTGGTAACTACAGGCAACTACGGAACCCACACTGCGCTTGGTACGACACGCACTTGGCGGGTTTTATCTTTTCAATTAGCCTCAACTTCTAGTGAAGTAGTCAACTTCTAGTGGAATTGGGTATTTTTTTATTATTTTATTTATTGGGTAAGTTATATTGAACAAATTGCATGACTAGGTAAACCCAGATGATTTAAAAGGAAGTCCTGATTTCCCAGGTGGTCACGTGTCGTGATGTAAGATGTGTGTAGGTTCCAATATAAACGTGTTGTTCTAGCTTTTTGCTCTCAAAATGTTAAAAACAAAGAATAAGAATAGGTACTGAGTTTTATTAAGGTAAATAAATGTTATTTCGTATTTGATCATCACTTTTCATAATAAAACTTGTGTAGGTGTAAGTAGGAATGTTTTAAAGACCAATCGTGACATTTAATAATTCCTATTTCGATGTGATTACTAACTTCATAAATATCATTTAAATAGCATGTATTTTTTATAAATTAAAATTAACTGTAATGCAAATGTTTGGATATTGTTAATGATAAAAATTTGGCGTATGTGTTTATTATTATATTAAATATTCAGTTTTTTATAATGTGCGGTAATGGTTTACAATTTTCATTCTAATTCTAACAATCACAATCTGAGCTTTGACTATGGGATTTACACCAAATACAAAATAGTTTACTTCAGTAACTTAGTCAAATACAAACGTATTTGCTTGGACCTTCATTATAAGAAAGAAATAGCATGTGCTTGTAACAACCGTATTGTAATATTGCCATATTTCTTGTTAGACAAGTAGGAACCGCTTATTCACATATTAAAAAAAACGTATTTTAAAATTTACTTTTGAAAGTATTTTCTCATCACGGTAAAAGAATGCACCCATGTAACACTGTTCTATAGTTTTGTTTATGCAGTAAACTGATGAACGTTAAAATACAGTAAATATAAAATTTGTTTACTTCAGTAACTTAGTAGATATAAGTATCTAATATTGCCATATTGAATATTGTTTATTATTATAGTTTTGTATTTCGCCAATAGAATATACTCATAGATGAGTTTTCGTTTTGAAACGAACTCGTCAATCCCATGTGAAAAGCTGTCGAGGTGTGGTGTTGAGTGTGTGATTGACTATACTAACTGGGGACTAATCCGGTATTGTTTGGTGAAGGCGAAAGTGACGCGAACACCGGAGACCCCGCGCCCCGCCTCCCAGCGGAACAACGAGCCCGTAGACGATGTGAGTTGACATGAGTACACATCGCGGCAAACTTCTTGAGCAACGACCATAGAAATATACTTCTGCGCAGTAGCAATTTTAAATACAAAAATGTCTACTGCGCAAATTTAGTTGTCCGTGGTTTTGCTCAAGAAGTTTGCTGCAACCTATACATGCATACATACACAAACACTGAGAGACAGACATATCTAGAATGACAAAAAATCATACTATAGCAGCGGCACGTTATGATCGCCGTTTTGACGTTTGTACACACATGAAATATCATATTCTAAATTCGAAAGATTATATAATTATTGTTCTTCATTGTCATTAGAGTCGCGCGTTTAGTCATATTATTAATCGTATCGGTAATTTTATGGCGTACAATTTAAAATTTTCAAAACTATGTTATTTTATGGTATAACTATACATTACGATTCCGAAAACCTTTTCAAATGTAAAATAATTAAATATAATATCATTTAAAGCCATTTTACAGAATCTTTAAAGAATTAAGTGAATTAATTAAATCATGTAATTGTTATTATCATTAAGAACTGTTGTATCATACAGATAAAAATATAATTAGAGAGAACTTATCCGCCACATAACTCAGCCTTTACATTTTTCTAAATTTAAAATGCAAAAACATGAAATCAATAATAGCACTACATGTAAAATACCTGAGCATGACTCAATATTTTTGTTTTCGTTCTATTATTTTTTTATAAAAAATTATATATTACATTATATTAGATTTTTTTCGATAACAAATTGACTTTCCTCGTCACTGTTGCAATGTGTCAAGACCGCCTTCAAAGCGTACCGCCACTATAGAATTCAATATAGCATTTGTATTTTTTTTTATTGAAACAGGAAACAAAAAAGTTTTATTTAACATTGTCAAAACAATGTTTTGCTTTGCAAAATTCACTTTCTTTTAGAAACTGTGTCATGCAAGTGCAAATTAAGTAAGCATTATTTATATTTAAACCATACTCTTTTATAATTTAACTGTACACTTGTATACACACTGGGGGTATGATTGGTGTCTGCAATTCTCAATGTTAAAGCATTGACCTATATTTTATGTTACGCATGTGCCTGGCGAAATGAAGTTGCATGTAAGTCATCATTAGTTCATATTATTTTTGCGATTGTATCTTCTAATACATAATTTATTAAAACTGGAGATTTTTTCTTCTAATATCATTATTTATTAAAACTCGCACGACACTTTAAAACTGGCTCTAAACATACATTAATACTTGGCTTTTCAAAACTTACGGAAACGAGAAACAAGACTAGTCAGTCAATATAATTACAATGTGGAACAATTACTTTGACATGGCTATATGATTCATCTATATTTTAATGCTGTCATATCTCCATAAATATCTATTAGTTTTGCATCAACTCGAAAAAATAACCAATGAATTCTATAGGTGATCGAGATCTATCACCTATGAAAACCTGTTGATTCTACGATGTTTACGTACTTTGTATATGCCACCTTAATTAAACAAATATTTTAAATTATATGTTATCAAGAGCGTTTATTAACTGTTCATGGATTAAAAATGACACGGTTAGTAATGATTTAAACCTAATGCGTTCTTTTTTTTCTCGGTGGAATTCCTGTTCATTTTGTTGAAAAAAAAAAGATTATCGGCTGAATACGAAAAGAATATAGATAAAGAGAGTCCAAAAAAACAAACACAATACAGAACCTAATAGGGTATTTGACAAGTTTTAGGCAACGATCTCACGTTATTGACTAATGTTTATCAAATCCGTAAAAAGTGAATATTCATCATTCTGTCGTCATCATTTCAGTAAAAATAACCAAATCAAAAACTCCATTTTCAAGTTGCCGCGAAAACGTTTCTATGGACAATATGGCGTCTTACTAGTGTGTGACGTCACACAACTGTTATTAAAACGTCAAACGATACAATGTAATGTCACTTTAACCGAAAGTTCTCCAATCCCTAGCGTTTTGGGTCACGTGACAATAGATAAGAAAACTAATATCTTTTTCGAGGGTTTTTGTAATATTGTGAATTTTTTTTTGTTAAAAATAGTAAACATCCCCTCCAATATTCAATCTAAACACAGATGCTAACAATTGGCACTTATACGTCGATTCACATAACGTTGTTAGTAATATCGCTCGCTGCTTGATGCCTGCTTTGTCATCTTCCACAATGCTATTGGCTATAAACCATTGGTTTAAACGTTGTTTAAATGACACCCAATCCTGGCAATTGTGGTCGAAAGTCGACAAAACTCCAAAGTATGTAGCCGCCATTTTGTCGTGCGCAGGTAAGTAAGTACTCTCGTCGCCACTGTTACGTATGAGCGTGCGAATCAAAAGACAGCTTATTGCGTACTGCTTTTATTCCAATGAACGTTGCGGGACGCAGCCCTTAAATACCCACATATGTAACATTTTTTAATACTGTCAAATACCCTATTCTATTATTGTGTCCGTCAATTTATCTACAGTTCGATTATATCGTATAAATGGAAGTTAAACTAACGATTTGTATGATTAGGGGACATATGTTTTGATACACACAATACCTATTATTTACGTTGATCAAATATGCCATCTCGGTTCTCACTAACATTCGTTACTGATCAATTCACAATGTTTTCAGTCAAAGGATTCTAAAGTACTCAAGCTGAAGGAAGACGTCCCTTCTACGGACCGTAAACTTCGCTCCGCCGACTCGCCAAAACCAGACGACAAGAAGCAACAGCAGAGTAAACCGGAACCCGCTAAAAAACCGCAAGAGTCACAAGAGAAACCCCAAGAAGTATCTAAGAAATCACTGGAAACGCCGCAGAAGAAGGAAGAATCTGTTAAAAAATCTCCCGAGTCGCAAGATAAGGCGCAAGAGTCCAGTAAAAAGATGCAAGATTCTCCCAAGAAACAACAAGAGACCTCTAAACAGCAGGGAAACGAGACAAAAGAGAAAAAAGAGGGAGAGGAGAAGGAGAATGGCGACGACAAAGTGGTGGTTATCGAAGTCGTAGAAATCGACGATGAAGGTTAGTTGAATGAATTTTGAAACTCCACAAGATAATTATTTTTCTACATTATTTGAGACATGCCTGAAAGTAAAACAATTCTAGTATTCGGGGTTGACTTGCTCTTCATAAACAAATTGATTTATTAAGAATACTCATGATATCATTCCCGTTTTATTTATGAATATCTTCTCCAAAATTAAAGTGCAATAGTTGAGAGTCCAGTATCAACTCTCCTTATTCTATTCAAAGTCTAGTTATCATCATTTAAGGTAAACTATTTCTTTTCGTTTGTATGTCATTGAACTGTGTATTACTAAACGGTTGAACCGATTTAGATACAATTATATTCGTGTATTCTAGTCTCTGGAGACTAGACTGACAGCTAGATACTCTAGGTGGCGTTGTAGATGGGTTCTAGAATTTTATCTGTACTCCAAAACATCTGGACTAATTTCAAGTAGATTTGTGTGTATTCAACTGGGTCTCTGGATGACTTCGATTCACAACTGGAACAGTTAGGAGACGCTGTGTGCGGGCTTGATCGGGTCGATTTCAATAAGTGGAAAATGTTTGTTATGTTATGTTATAAATAAACAAGTGGCCCGCCCTTACTTCACTCCGGTGTTCACTATAGTTTTTGTTTTATTATATAGTTTATAGCACTCGCGAATAACTTTGACGCGAGTGACTTTGTATTGGTAAAACAATTTTCTAAATCGGATTAGTAGACCTAGAGATAACCTCCTAGAAACTTACAAACATCACTGCTCAATCAAGCCAATTTAAATAAGTAGAAGTAGCCTACAAGTTTAGCTAAGAAGAATGTCTGATAAGTTATCTTATAAATAAATGTGGAAATGAACATTTGAACGAAGCTGTGTGAAAGAGATCGAACGATATGTGTAAGTGATAGGTTAGAAGGAAGAAAGAACAGAAGGGCAGAGGGTCGAATGGCGATCACAACGAATGACGAAGCGTGCTAGGATGGTTTTAAAAATTTAATAGTATTTTACATAAGTTCAGTATAAAATAGAAGTGTTTTTCAAGATGTGTTCTTTTTATCATTTTCGATCTCCACATAAATAAAGAAATATTCTTCACAATGCTAGTGCATATAGAACAGATAGTATTAGTATTGCCACTGATTACGTCAGAGATAATAGTCTAACGCTGCGTTGTTGCAGAGGAGCCGCGCAAGACGGACACAAAATTTGTGTGTTGTCTAATCAGGCCGATTTAAGTAAACAGATGTAGCCTATGTAGGAACAAAATGTTTGTTATTGTTACCTTAGTTATAAATGTGGAAATGAATTTTTGAACGAAGCTGTGTGAATGAGATCGAACGATGAGTGTGAGTGATAGGTTAGATAGAAGGAAGGATGAAACAGAGAAACGAATGACGGATTAACAACGAACGACGAAGTATGCTAGGATGGTCTTAAAATTTAAAATTTTATTTTACATAAGTTCAGTCTAAAATAATGCGAGTGTTTCTTCAAGAAGTGTTATTTTCAATATTTTCGATCCCCAAATATATAAATAAATAATTCCAACAGTCACACCAATTAGCCTAGCCCCAAAAAAACACTATAAGGCATGTGTTATGGGATACTAGGGTAACGGATAGAATACATATACTGTACATATATAAGTAGATATGTATAGAAATACATATTAAACATCCATGACTGGAGTACAAATGCTCGTATTCATCACACAAACATCTGCCCCCACCGGGATTCAAACCCGGGACCTCTCGAGTCGGCGACACCATGAAACCCGGCGTACAAACCACTCGACCACGGAGGGCGTCAACATATATAGGAATAATTATCACAATGCTAGTGCAAATAGAACAGCTAGTATTGCCACTGAATACGTCAACGATAATAGTCTGACGCTGCGTTGTTGCAGAGGAGCCGCGCAAAACGGACACTAACTTCTCAAAGAGCCGCGTCAAGGTGTCCCCATACAGGCGCAGTATGAGGGCTGATCACACAGCCAGCTCTACTATGGCGAACTACACAGGTATACACCCCGAAAAACTTCTTGAGCAACGATCAAGGATATAAGCCGGTGCAGTGATAATTTTACAACACAAAAATGTCTTCTGCGCAAGTTTATTTGTCCGTGGTTTTGCTCAAGAAGTTTGCCGCTACTTATATTATGCACACAACAGAAATTACTACATGATAACATATCGTACACAGTCATTATTATCAGATGTCCCCATTGCTGCGGCACAGGCTTCCCTAAGGATGGAATAGGGAGATTGGACCGTGGCCCACCACGATGGCCCAGTATGGCCCTGTGTTGATTGGTAGGGGCCAAAGACGGCAGATATGAGATGCCCAGGAACTCGAGATATTAAATATTGGATCATCTATCCGATGACCAGCCATTGCAAAACTTGCTTGGCTAGCACGTTCACATATAGAACTAACTAACAATTGAACTCAACACATACTAGATTAGTAAGATCAGTGAGTATAGAAACAAAGAAAGAAAGAAAAATCATTTATTGGCCTTAAAACACAAGTATGTAACAATAAGAAATTATATACCAATAAAAATAAAAACAAACAGACAACAACAATATGCAGAAAGAAGAAAGGCCAATTAGGACCCTGCCTTAGCTTAATGCTGTTACAATGGGACGGGAATATTCCCACCGTAACAGCGCTGGTATTCTGGCAGGGCGGGCCTGTACGAGATTGCTAGAGCATAAAAGCTAAAATTACAAAATGGTATAAAAATATATATAGTTATAATAGAATACATGAACTGAGTTAAATAAATAAATATAGTTTATTAAATTCGTAATGAATTAATATTAAGGCCGCAAGTGTTACCCACGCGCCCACACAGCGAGAGCCGAGCCCGCATGTATTGAACATGTATTGTGTACAGTACAGGTATTATACACACTATACTTACTGACGAACTCCGTGGCCGAGTGATGCACCTGTTTTCAAAGTGTCGCCAACCTCAGAATTTTAGATTCGAATCCCGTTAGGGGCAAATGTATTATGAAGAATACAGTGATTAGGATTCTGTATTTCTAGCTGTCACCTACACTAATATTCTAAAGGCTAAAGTTTGTGAGTGTGTATGTTTGTTACTTCTTCACGTCTAAACGGCTGGAGCGATTTTAATAAAATTTGGTATGAAGTTAGCTGACACCCTGGATGGTGTTAACCTAGGGTACGTTTTACTGCGGGAAGATATCCCTAATAAACCGCGGGTAACACCGCGGGCACAACCAGTTGTAGTGTTATGGGAATAACACTAGCTTTATGGTGGCGACTCACCATTATGCTGCTTGATCAAGTGGCTTGATCAAATAGACTTGATAAAGCCAAAATCCTTTCGGCAAGTGGCATGTCATTCCAAAATGTCTCCCACGGTCAGTTTGGTTTGATCAAGCCTATTTGATCAACCCCTTGATCAAGTGGCAGGATGGTGAATGGCCACCATAAAGCTAGTGTTATGGGATACTAGGATATTACTATGCTTACTTTGAAGCTAGCCTAATCTTCGTATTGTATTTATACTGTATGACACAACAATCAAAATGCAGGTGAACAATTAATGTATAATTTCACATTATGTAATGAAAGGTGATTTCATGAATGATCTCTGAAATCATTTTCAACTTGACGACTCTGTAAATAATAAAACAGGGAGAAAAAACAGCACTTGCTGAGTTTCTTGCCGGTTCTTCTCAGTACAAGGTCTCCCGCCGTAGATTTACGAACCGATGACGTAGCTTCTAGACATTCATATGTGCTTGTAACAGCCCAAACTGAATAAATGATTTTGATTATGATTCTTTGCAAGTGTAAAAAATACTTATCCGTTTATCACTACCCTCTGTCCAACAGGGAACAACACGACAATGGAGATGGACTTCACCGAGAGTTCGTTCTCGACCACCACAGATGTTTCCTTGGACGACAGCTCGTACCTGGGCTCGCTGCGTAACATCCGCGGCCGTCGCTCCTACAAGCAGCTCAAAGAGATGACTCTGAGGCATGTCACTGAGAAACAACACCGGCCTAATACTAGTGGATCAGGTGAGTGGAGAAAAGAGACACATAATCTCGTTGTTAGCACACTTATTCAGCGATATTAAAAACCCTAGATACACCACGTGCGCTCAAAATGTGTCCCAATCAAGAAGTGCTTGAGCCACTCAATCACTTCTTAGTTCACAGTCACGCGTGGACCGTTGAAAAGTCAAGGTGCGGCATCTTTACTTAGAACACGTAGACTGTTGTTTTTCCGACAGGTATCTAATCAATGTTTGTTAATTTAACGCATTTGAAGCAGATATTGTTCTTATACTTGCTGTAAACTGATTTAATAGAAAATATTTGTGATATTCAAATGCATGGTATGTGATAGTCGTCTGTTTTCCTCGCGCTCCGTACCTGCTATATTGCTAACAGCGCATTCCGAATTACGCGTAGAGTAAAGAAATAAATTCTTTATTCTTCCGCCTATAGCAAGTCGTAATATCTAACCAGCTTTCATTTTGAACTGTCGTAACTCTTTGGGGCATGCGTTTAAATTAAGACCTTATAAACTATGCTTTAAAGGTGACTTTGAATGTTTAAATAATGCATTATATTGTATTTGACTACATGATTATCTTACGGAGTTCTGTTGATCGTCCAATGTACTTTTTGGCTGTATGTGTGGTTTCAGCCACGATTTTGTTCGTATTGTTTTATCTAGGGTAAAAAATATCGTTGCACTTACTACTAAGAATCGCTAGGTACTATACAATGTTGGTAGATCAAAGACCCAAGCACGAATTTTGACAGATCCTTAATCGTATCGCATCGTCAATGTTTCTATGAAAAGTAAGCCCCTACCGGATGTAAGAACATACTAGCTCCTTCCATACAAAATTTGATGACGGATCTGTCGAAAATTCGCGCTTGGGCCTCAGGAAGTTCATTTGCTTGCATTCTAACAAGATCTGGAACGAATTTACCTTAGCTGTTTTCCCCTTTAGCTATGATATGATCGTCTCCAAAAGGCGAGTAAACCTTTTCCTTCAGAGCCGGCAACGCATGATTACTCTTTAATCTGCATAAACATAAATAAAAATAGAGAGATTGCATGTTTAAGAATCCCACAGCAACCCAAAAAAATTCCAATAAAAAAATATCCTAAATGTTATTCTGGTAATTAATCATCCAATTCCGTTTAGTTGTTTTTGCGTGATTGATTAGAAAGAGGTACAAACTTTCGTATTGAACGTTTGTGTAGTAGGATGGCATCATCATCATTATCAGCAACCTATTAATGTATCCACAGGCATTTTCTATAGATTGAATAGAGATAATGGTCTATGAACCACTACGTGGGCCCAGCGTGGATGGACGAGGGCTAAAGACTGCAGGTGCAGTCGGAAACCATGGCTTAATGTGTCTTGCGATGCATATATAGTTCGTTAGTTGATTACTCACCTCAACAGCTGTAGTCAAACCTATTGGGCTGCACTAAAATTAAAATATTTTTCCAATATATCGACCAAGGAATCACTAACCCTGATAATTACAGTTTTTACTAGTTTCTGGGTTAGCATATACTTTAAATGTAAAATGTTGAGGGTTGTTTGTGAATAAATGATTATTATTATTATATAGTAGTGAGAAATAATAAATTTTTGGTCATCCCAAATGATCGGCAATTGCGAAAGTCGCTTAATTTCCACAATAAGCGCTTACCATTAGCATAATAGAGCTCCTCTTTTTCTATCATTTATTAGGATGTAAAATTATTAAGAATACAATTATTGTATCTGAAAGTAGACAGAAGTGTCGAATTCGATAGATTATTTTAGAGTTTCCGAAGAGATTCCAAACTCGAAAATAATCTATATAAATGGGACGAAAACGCAAGCTGGAGCGAAAGCGAATGCATTTACGATGTTATTAGTATGTACCTTAATACTAGAATCCGCATTACTTTATATTCGCCATCGCCAAAGTTGGTGGCGGTTTCAATTTTGTTATGTATGTAAACCAAGAGGTGCTCGAGTAATAAATGTTACCGGGTTATTATAACATCGTATAATAAAGCATTGCAAATTTACTGATCAAACTGCGAATATGTGTTTCCTTTTTTTGCTATGATTTCCTGCTGTAAACGTTTTGATTGGACTCTTCAGTGCGACGTCACGGTCGTATGATTTTAGTAAAACGATGTTATATATGTTGTTTCAAACGAATCTAGACTAAAGTTAAACAAACACTTTAACACTGAATTCCCGCGCAATGACTCGCTAAATGTCAATCTCAATACATTCATTTACTTTTCTAGGGCTTTGATTTATTAATTCACTATCTTTTATAGCACTAATTTCTTTATTAATTTATATTAAAATCATAAAAATAAAGCTTGTCGAAAAATAAGGTTATTCAGATGGGAATTGTCTGTTGTTTATCGTTGAAGTGTGTTGCACCGAAAAGTCTATTCAAAATAATTTCAATTGATATTAATAATCGAAAGATGAATCGATTAAATAAATGGTTATGGGCGAAAAAACCGTCTCATTTTTTAACAGTAATCCAACATATGCATAATTTATGTGTTTGATATACTTTAAATGTAAAATGTTGAGGGTTGTTTGTGAATAAATGATTATTATTATTATATAGTAGTGAGAAATAATAAATTTTTGGTCATCCCAAATGATCGGCAATTGCGAAAGTCGCTTAATTTCCACAATAAGCGCTTACCATTAGCATAATAGAGCTCCTCTTTTTCTATCATTTATTAGGATGTAAAATTATTAAGAATACAATTATTGTATCTGAAAGTAGACAGAAGTGTCGAATTCGATAGATTATTTTAGAGTTTCCGAAGAGATTCCAAACTCGAAAATAATCTATATAAATGGGACGAAAACGCAAGCTGGAGCGAAAGCGAATGCATTTACGATGTTATTAGTATGTACCTTAATACTAGAATCCGCATTACTTTATATTCGCCATCGCCAAAGTTGGTGGCGGTTTCAATTTTGTTATGTATGTAAACCAAGAGGTGCTCGAGTAATAAATGTTACCGGGTTATTATAACATCGTATAATAAAGCATTGCAAATTTACTGATCAAACTGCGAATATGTGTTTCCTTTTTTTGCTATGATTTCCTGCTGTAAACGTTTTGATTGGACTCTTCAGTGCGACGTCACGGTCGTATGATTTTAGTAAAACGATGTTATATATGTTGTTTCAAACGAATCTAGACTAAAGTTAAACAAACACTTTAACACTGAATTCCCGCGCAATGACTCGCTAAATGTCAATCTCAATACATTCATTTACTTTTCTAGGGCTTTGATTTATTAATTCACTATCTTTTATAGCACTAATTTCTTTATTAATTTATATTAAAATCATAAAAATAAAGCTTGTCGAAAAATAAGGTTATTCAGATGGGAATTGTCTGTTGTTTATCGTTGAAGTGTGTTGCACCGAAAAGTCTATTCAAAATAATTTCAATTGATATTAATAATCGAAAGATGAATCGATTAAATAAATGGTTATGGGCGAAAAAACCGTCTCATTTTTTAACAGTAATCCAACATATGCATAATTTATGTGTTTGATATACTTAGGTGATCTTTTTAAAATAAATATAACCTCTATGCACATTTGTATAATAAAGGTTATATTATACATATATTGAACGAAATAATTGAAATGAATGCAGGACATTCAACAGGATGATACTACGAGCTCATTAGCCGACGAACTTAGATATTCAATAAATCACGCAAACCAATCAAAGAATTTTATTAAGTAAAAAAAAATAGTTAGCTATATTGCCAAATACAGTTAACAGCCAGAGCTCTTTTTTGAGTAATGACGATAAAAAATTATTAATGCTACAAATTAAGCCTTATAGATCTTTAACAATTTCCAGGAATATGATCATTCAATTGATCAATTGATTTTGACAAGGTTCTTTGAATACCCATCACTAAACTGTCTATGGTCAGACTTACCTACCTCTTTGTTTACTTTTGATCTAAATTCGTCAGGAACAGACTATAGTATTGTTGCATAAATTTGGCACAAGCGATTGCCCCTTATTTGCGGTCCCTAGTGGAGTTGCTCTGTGACTCAAAATTATTCTGAAAGTAGATAATAGAATTCATTTCGGTACACTCTTTCCACACAGCATCAGAACAGCCCTCCCGTCCCACTGCTGGTACATTGGTCAGCGAGAGCTAAGCGAACGCATTTACAATTTTGTAACATAATAGGATGTTCTCCCAATATATTATGTTGAGATTTAGATAAAATGTCCAATTCGATATTTTTTTTCGTACACATAGCCGGCTATAAACGCAAGCTGGAGCGTGAGCAAGCGAATGTAAATGTTTTTTTTCTGTTAATAAAACAAAATGAAGTTTGGTGTAACTTGACCTGCAACTTTCTATTTTCCAAATGAATTGTTCTGAAAGTAGACAACAGTAACCTTAGCACGTACAATTATCGAATTCGAATAGTGAAATTAGATCTATTTTATACGTCAAATGTGTACTGATTTTTAGTTCTCGTTACGTTCGTTCTGGCGCTGCTGTTAAAGTATCCATACAAAATTTGACAATGACATTTCGCACTCCCAAACTATTCGAAATTGATTTGATTCGTGCTAAGGCTACAAGTACAAATTCAATGCGAAATACTCTTTCCATCCAGCGTCTGTACCTTCCCGGCCCATTGGAACATAATCGACCGTTAACGTATGTCGAGCAAAGCGAGCACATTTATAATATTATTGGTAAGATGTATTTCCAAATTTCCAATATATTACCAAATTATGACCAAAGTGTCTGTTTTGACATACTCTCTTTGTATACACAGCATTAGAACAACCAACTCGACCCACCGGTCGGAGGTAAACGCTAGCGAAAGCGAGGCGACTCTTATCAAAAAGGTTCTGTATTTTTTTCTGTAAATGAATCAAAATAAAGACCAAAATCAATAGGCGAATCTTTTCAGTTATGGAACCTGTGGCTCTCTAAAAATGGAAATTAGAGAAAAGACTAATTCGATACACTCTTTTTGTCCACACAGCATCAGAACAACCTGCCCGACCCACCGGAACAGTGGTCGGTCGCAAACGCAAGCCTGACGGCGATATGGAAACGGGCGTGGAACCCGCCGCCAGCGAGGCCGGCAAGAGGATGCGGCTGTTCGACCGTCTTACTCACTCGCTGCGCACCACCACGCTACCCGCGCTGCCCGCCAGGAGGAACGCGGAGGTGAGTCCCACACCGCCCACACACTATGACGCGAGCCGGTGAGAGGATGCGGCTGTTCGGCCGTCTCACTCACTCACTGTGCACCACCACGCTGCCCGCGCTGCCCGCCAGGAGGAACGCGGAGGTGAGTCCCACACCGCCCACACACTATGACGCGAGCCGGTGAGAGGATGCGGCTGTTCGGCCGTCTCACTCACTCACTGTGCACCACCACGCTGCCCGCGCTGCCCGCCAGGAGGAACGCGGAGGTGAGTCCCACACCGCCCACACACTATGACGCGAGCCGGTGAGAGGATGCGGCTGTTCGGCCGTCTCACTCACTCACTGTGCACCACCACGCTGCCCGCGCTGCCCGCCAGGAGGAACGCGGAGGTGAGTCCCACACCGCCCACACACTATGACGCGAGCCGGTGAGAGGATGCGGCTGTTCGGCCGTCTCACTCACTCACTGTGCACCACCACGCTGCCCGCGCTGCCCGCCAGGAGGAACGCGGAGGTGAGTCCCACACCGCCCACACACTATGACGCGAGCCGGTGAGAGGATGCGGCTGTTCGGCCGTCTCACTCACTCATTCACTGTGCACCACCACGCTGCCCGCCAGGAGGAACGCGGAAGTGAGTCCCACACCGCCCACACACTATGACGCGAGCCGGTGAGAGGATGCGGCTGTTCGGCCGTCTCACTCACTCACTCACTGTGCACCACCACGCTGCCCGTGCTGCCCGCCAGGAGGAACGCGGAGGTGAGTCCCACACCGCCCACAGACTATGACGCGAGCCGGTGAGAGGATGCGGCTGTTCGGCCGTCTCACTCACTCACCGTGCACCAATACGCTGCCCGCGCTGCCCGCCAGGAGGAACGCGGAGGTGAGTCCCACACCGTCCACACTATGACGCGAGCCGGTGAGAGGATGCGGCTGTTCGGCCGTCTCACTCACTCACTCACTCACTGTGCACTACCACGCTGCCCGCACTGCCCGCCAGGAGGAACGCGGAGGTGAGTCCCACACCGCCCACACACTATGACGCGAGCCGGTGAGAGGATGCGGCTGTTCGGCCGTCTCACTTACTCACTGTGCACCACCACGCTGCCCGCGCTGCCCGCCAGGAGGAACGCGGAGGTGAGTCCCACACCGTCTACACACTATGACGCGAGCCGGTGAGAGGATGCGGCTGTTCGGCCGTCTCACTCACTCACTGTGCACCACCACGCTGCCCGCGCTGCCCGCCAGGAGGAACGCGGAGGTGAGTCCCACACCGCCCACACACTATGACGCGAGCCGGTGAGAGGATGCGGCTGTTCGGCCATCTCACTCACTCACTCACTGTGCACCACCACGCTGCCCACCAGGAGGAACGCAGAGGTGAGTCCCACACCGCCCACACACTATGACGCGAGCCGGTGAGAGGATGCAGCTGTTCGGCCATCTCACTCACTCACCGTGCACCACCACGCTGCCCGCCAGGAGGAACGCGGAGGTGAGTCCCACACCGCCCACACACTATGACGCGAGCCGGTGAGAGGATGCGGCTGTTCGGCCGTCTCACTTACTCACTGTGCACCACCACGCTGCCCGCCAGGAGGAACGCGGAGGTGAGTCCCACACCGCCCACACACTATGACGCGAGCCGGTGAGAGGATGCGGCTGTTCGGCCGTCTCACTTACTCACTGTGCACCACCACGCTGCCCGCGCTGCCCGCCAGGAGGAACGCGGAGGTGAGTCCCACACCGCCCACACACTATGACGCGAGCCGATGAGAGGATGCGGCTGTTCGGCCATCTCACTCACTCACTCACTGTGCACCACCACGCTGCCCGCCAGGAGGAACGCGGAGGTGAGTCCCACACCGCCCACACACTATGACGCGAGCCGGTGAGAGGATGCGGCTGTTCGGCCGTCTCACTCACTCACTGTGCACCACCACGCTGCCCGCCAGAAGGAACGTGGAGGTGAGTGCACACCTTATTATTTATTATAAGGTGGTTATGCATTCGTTAGCATCGTTAAATATTAAAACTCATAGTCCGAAACATAAACACTGTGCGGGGGTTGGACGATTTGTTAAATATGTTTTTGTAGTATCATATAAATATACCCCTGACCTTCCTGCCCTAAAACAGAAATCATCATAAGGCATTTACTTTAAATGACCACCAGTCTGCTTATTTTAGACACTAATCGAATGTAAACATGAGTCACTATATGAAATAGGCAAGTGACATTGAACTCTCCTAAAGGTGTTGATGTTGTTGATGAAAAAAAGTATCTACATAATATCCAAACACAATGCAAGTCACATAGAATAGTTTACTTCGCAAACACAGGTCGTTAATCCACTGGACAACAATGAGGGCTTCACCGATTTTGACTGGGACATTGTGTAGGTGTTAAGAATCGATTTCCGAGTATACAAAAGTATATTATTATCTGAGTAGTATACAGGATTCGAATAATACATTCAAATGACTCAAAATATTTTATTTATGGCAATATAAGAGGTTTCACAAAGGAAAACAATATGAAAATTATTTTGATTCTTCGACTTTGTGCGACAAGGATTTTTATGAATTTGAGTGACAGTTCAGTAAGGGCGCTGCTGTCTACGCAAATGACATACAAAATATGACGTTTACAAAGATGCCGGCGTTAGTTTAAATTTTCGCCACATTCATAAAGTTATAAACCTAAACATCCTACAACCTTATTAATATGAGGGCAAATATGCCCACAACCCTCTTAAACGATCATTCCGTTATTTTGTAGTAACAGACATATTTAATAACATTATTATTTGTTGACAGATCGTCGGGATCAACACTGACTTGCCTTTGACGGCGCCAGTCGCTTCTACAGAGACATTTGACCCCGAAACCTTGAAGGCTACATCGACGCCCACCCCCTCAACAAACCCTGACCCTATCCCTGTCTCGCCAATTGAGAGCGACAAGGACAACAAGCGCTGTATCGTCATGTAAGTCCATTCACTCTGGCTTTGATGGAGAGTAGTCTTTGTCTAATTTTGGATCAAAGAACTTTAAAATGTATTTTGATGGTGTCCATTGCATTATGGATTACAATTTGTAATCGATCGTGCTTACAAGAAAAATCTAAGAAATTTGTTTCTGAAACTTATATTGATTGTATACTCGATGTTAGAGATATACTTAAGATAATAAAATTTTAATTATGTGTCACGTCACATCGGAAGAATCGCCACGACGTTTGTAAAAGAAAGTATTTTTTCTTGATGAATATAAATTTTGTACTTGGAAAGTAAATGAAATCATCAGAATCTTTCTTTAGGATAAAAATGGCACAAATTATGAGACAAATAAATAATCAATCATAAAATGCCAATCAAATGCCATTTATGCCTATCTAGACTTTGTCAAACAATATATAATATTGAATTTGTAATTGAGTAACAAATTGAAGTATTAAAATTTATTGAGGAAAGATTTTTATGAGACAAATTAATTGTAAAGAAGTTCGAATAGGCTATTATTATTTTATAAATATACTTTAAACACAGATTGGTATGCAAAAAGACACTAAGGTGAAATCAGGCGAGCGAAAGTTTCTTTAAGCTAAATTCTTAAAATATATATTAGAAACTAAATGGGTCCTCAATATTTTTCTCTAATTTATGTTTAAATATTTAATAAACTATTAGCTTCAATATTATGCTAATTACACAAAAAGTAGCTCAGGAAAAAAAAACAATCTTGTTAGAAGCTGTCAAAAAATGTGTTCTGTCCTAATTCAATATAAATAAAGATTTATTTTCTCACTTTTTGTACTACATAAAAATAATCTATTTTTATCTCAAGTCAAAAAGTATACAGTATTAATTGGTGAATCTAAATTAAAGCGCGATTCATTCGCTCGCCTGCATTGTTTAAAACATGCGTATGGCATAGTTATGTTCTGCATTTGTACATAAATATATTATTAGATGATAAATATCTGTAAAAGACACATTAAGTAAAATCGTTGTTGCTTAGGAATCAACATTTACAGTTGATATAGTTTACAATAAAATAACAAATTGTCTAAATCGAAAATCCAGCTTTATTTCTAATTATTAAGATTTAAAATTGATTGGATAAATTTAATACAATTAACCTGAAAGCTGTTGATTAATTATATGATTTTATTTTTGTTATTCACAGTGTGTAATTAATTTGTGTAGTTTTTCTAATAGTAATTCTCTTCCTACTATTATGTTATTATCATGATTTTACCTAATGTGTGAAACTTATTAATGAAAATACCAAGTTCAACAAAAATTAGTTGATAAAATGTACAGTAGAAGTTATTTGTCTGTAGTAGCTGGGCATTACACATGATTCAACTATATTATCAGAATGTTATCTCAGTAAAAAATCTTTTCTTTAAATCAACACTAGGCGATAATTCTTTGATCTCTATGATTGAAAGAATGTGTTATCCTGCTTTTAAGATTAGGGGTACAAACAATTTTCGGAAATAAAGACAGACTCATAACTTCTTCGACTGTACATTTCAGATATATGTATTTGAGACTTGATGTGTGTGCGCTTTGAGCGTGACGCAGTTTTAATAAGCGACATTATTTTTATCGACCATGATTTGGACGTGTCTTGTGTTTGGGATTTTGCAAGTTTAAGACATTTTATAGAAAATGTTATCATTTATTTTAAATTGAGAGTGCATTGTATGGATTATATGTCGAGTATGCCAAATGACGTAAAATAAACTACAACCCAAACAATTGAGTAGCATATAATTTTGCTCTAAACTTTTTATCTTACTGTTTGCACATCACAAATCATTCGTTACTAACAAAATGTCTAATAGTTGCAAATTCTGGTGAAATTGTTATGCAAATTAATAACATATTTGACTATTCAACGTGTGCGTATTTGAAAATAAAGTATTATTTAAGATTATTTTTTACTAGTAATGTGTTTCAACTATGTTATTTCCTTATGAATATTCAAATTGAGAACCAGTATGATGCGGGAGCGATGCTCCAAAATGTGCTCATGAATATTTCAAATGGTATTAAATAGAATAACTGATAAAATTCTAAATAGGTTTTGAAATTTTAGTATATTTTATAGAAACATATTTTCGGCCCAGACATCTTAAATACCAATATGTATTTGTATGGAAAATCTTAAATATGTTTTGCATTTAGGTATTATGATTTACGAATTTCATACTTAACTGAGAAAGTTTGATAATTCGGGTTTTTCATATTTTAATTTTGTTCTTATAAACTATCTTGTCATGTGAGAGTTAAAAAATGTAGGGTTAAGAACAATACATGCATCGCTATTATAGGCTGGAATTTTAAGTTTAATGCTTTAAAACTTTAAATTCAGTATAACTTATAATAATTGGTTTGACAAATATTTTCACTTTTTTCATTTTGTTGAATAATAAACAAGACATGTCCGAACGTTAGCGTTAGCCGTCGTGTATAATAGTGCGACATGTTTTTATCCCATGGACTACATTTTAAGTTTTCGATTCCAATATGGTATCAAGTTTATAGATATATTTGTGCATTTTTTCTAGAATAAATAGATTTATAAGTGGATATAGTTTGTTTTATTTATAACTTACAGCACTATTTGTTTACTGTAATACAGCTGATACATTTAATGTTTGAATTGGATTCTGTTGTGCAAATTTGATACGAGCTTCCTACAAACGTAATACAGTAAATGTTTATTAAATTTTTAGGATGGAGACTCGTAACTAAAAATAATTATATTATCTACTATCTCTTTTGCCCTTACATAACTCAACAACTAAATAACAACATGGTTCATAAATGTCATTTGTATGAAGTAAACAAATAACTGCTCAACTAAGTATTCCAAGAAGCAAAGGTCAACAAACGTCTTTTGCGGTTTCCAACAAATATCGTTAATTTTTTATCTAACTGGTCTGTATTACGAACTCAATACAATACTTACAAATAAGGGCGCTTTCAATTTATGCGTTTCTTGATGCCCTGCTGCGGTGCCGAAGCGGTGCGTTTGTCGTACAGCGTACGGACGATCCTTTTTTTTTCATACAAAACGCGCGGTGCGGCAACAGTCCTGTTGTCGAGGGTTCGCGGTACCGGCGCCGCACTGTTGCCGCACCGCGCGTATTGTATGAAAAAAATATCATTTCATGAAATATCTATACATTTATAGCACCTACACCAATTGCATATGCAATCAGGGGCGTGAAACACCAAAACACGGTTTATGTGAATATGGGCCTCTTTTCCACAAACGTAGTATTCATCTTGAATGACATAATTATAATTCCTCAGAGGAAAGCACAGTCGCAGTGACAACAGTAGCACTGGGCCTGCATACCCTTAAAAATCTGTAAAAATAAACATACATATAAGATTCTGATTCATCTACCTACACACCTACACGTGAAGACCTATTATTGGTTTCTATGTATACATTTTTATTATGTTTGAGAACTGTTGGTTTTTCAAAAAGTAGATATATTAAATATTGTGGTTAACTTAATGCAAGCCTCAATGAATTTATTACTCAAGTGCCCTCTACGATAACAATACACAATAAATTGTATTAATATTGACATGGCTTAAATATCATAACCACCGATTCACTGCCATTCATAATGCCACCAGAAATAAATCAAATTTTACAGGAAATATGAATTATACTAAGCTTTATTTAATACTTGTACTGTATACTTTAAAAGTATTCATTTGACATTGTGGGCTACCTACCTACAATGCGAAGACATGTACGCTGCCTTGGAGCTTAAGAATGGCTAGAAGAATTTCGACGCGGCCGTCAGGGCCGCGATAGCATAATTGGTCAGAGCATTTGCCCGGAGAGCGAAGGGTGCGGGTTCGAGTCCCGTCTGCTGCCTGGTCCGCGTGGATTTTTTTCAAGTTATATTTTCTTTAGATTTAAACCTCAAGCAGTTACATGCTTAAAAATAAAAATTGTAACTTATACTAAGCTATTCATCGTGTCATAGTTCAAATTTAGTAATATGCAGTGAAACCAGTGTGGGCTAAATGCTGGCTGATTTCATGGAAAAGGAAGGCCTCATAATGATGAACTTCTTTGACGCAGCTGAAGACCGTTAACGGTAGTCAGAGTCTGAGATTTTGAGAGAATTTGAGAGCTTCAGAACACCTCAACACAAAGCCTATTGATGATATGGCTAAAGACCATATTTACCCGACGCTCTCAAACAACTGAAGAATAACAAAGCGCCAGTGGATGACGGAATCACAGCAGAACTACTGAAAGCAGTGGACGTGTTTCGGCTAATGATGATGATCTGCATGAATTTAGAAGAAGATGTACCAAAGTCCTACTTTAATGATTATAATGATTTTAAAGAAAGTCATTGGACATAATTATGCTGTATACGTACACACATAACAACACTCATCATAAATGGTATTAGTGTATGTAAAGGGCGGCGAAAATAATCTTTGCCCGGAGATTTCTGGATTTGGCCCTGTTGCTCGATGGCGGTAGAGGAGCCGGATGGCGCAAGTGGTTACCGCGTTCGGCTGCGATCGCTTTCGCAGTCGTCTGTCAACGGATGGGTGACCCAAAATTTACTATATCGAGCTCCTACGTGCTTCAGAAGGCACGTTAAGCCGTTGGCCCCGGCCACATCTGCAGTCTTTAGCACCCACTAATCTGCACTGGGCCCTCGTGATGGGTTATGGCAAGGCCCAATCTTCTTATTCCATCCATAAGGAAGGCCTGTGCCCCAGCAGTGGGAACATTAATAAGCTGATGATGAAGTTTCAACATTTCTCAGTAAAAGCCGTAATTTCCAATTAATAACAGCTAAATTAAGTCCAGTCGTATAACATGTTTCTCAGGATTCGCTGTATTTTTTTTTCATGGCGGTAAAATTACTATTCCTGTAAAAAAAAAACAGGACTAGAGCGAGTTGGACTCACCCTCTGATGGTTCCATACTTTGTAGGTACGTATCATAAACGGCCGTATTTTTTCCTCGTTAAATTGGAAGTTTGAAGGTAACTCGATACCTCCACGCGTTACTGAGATCAAGGGTCTTGACAGACAGACAGACGGTCAGAGGGACAGACGAACAACATAGTGACCTGAACAGGGTTCCGTTATTTCCTTTTGAGGTAAAGCCCCCTAAAAACAAGTCTAGTACTTACTTTAGAGTTATTGTTATTTTAATGTTTAAATTAAAGTTTCCGTAATAGAATTTCCTACTGAATGTAGTAATCTATTATACAAATATTATGTATAACTTGCCTTTACTTTCTGTATTCGTTTGTGTAATTCTATACCAAAAGGCTGTAACAGACACTACCAGAACAATGTT